CCACCAGTGTGCAAAGCACATCGGTACAACGAGTCTCAAGAACGCGGTCATGTAATGTCGGTCCGACCCGCTTCATCAAACAATACCGCCAAATCAATGTAAGACGTTGGTGGTAAGCAGTATGACTATTATCGCCCACAACTCTTTGTGTTCTACTCATGCATATCATCTACGCATAGACCTGGCTCTGATACCACTGTTGGGGAACGTAGCATGCAATTTCAAAAAATTCCTACAATCACGCAAGATCTATCTAGGAGATGCACAACAACGAGAGGGGGAGAGTGTGTATACGTACCCTCATAGACCAACAGCGTAAGCGTTATGTTAACGCGGTTGATGTAGTCGAACGTCTTCACGATCCAACCGATTTAGCACCGAACGTACGGCACCTCCGAGTTTAGCACACGTTCATCTCGATGATGTCCCTCGAACTCTTGATCCAGCAGAAGGTCAAGGGAGAGTTTCGTCAGCACGACGGCGTGATGACGGTGTTGATGATGTGATCCGCGCAGGGCTTCGCCTAAGCACTACGATGATACTATCAAAGGAGTAAACGGTGGAGGAGGGCACCGCACACGGCTAAGACAATGTTGTACCTTTGGGGTGCCCCCCTGTCCCCGTATATAAAGGAGGGAGGAGGAGGCCGGACACCAGGGGCGCGCCAAGGGAGGGGGGTCCTACTAGGACTCCACTCCTAGTAGGATTCGGCCCCCCTCTTTTTTTCCTTCTTACAGAGGTGGAAAGGGGGAAGGAGAGGGAGTAGGAGAAGGAAAGGGGGTGGCGCCCCCTTTCCCTAGTCCAATTCGGCCTCCTCCCTTGTGCGGGGCGCAACAGCCCCTTGTGGGCTGGTTAGCCTCCCTCCTATGGCCCATATCTTCCAGCGGGGAGTTCCGGTAACCCTTCTGGTACTCCGGTTTGTACCCGATACACTCCAGAATCCTTCCAGTGTCCGAATACCACCTTCCAATATATCAATCTTTACCTCTCGACCATTTCGAGACTCCTCGTCATGTCCGTGCTCTCATCCGGGACTTCAAACAAACTCATAATACAAATATCGAATGTTAAGCGTGCGGACCCTACGGGTTCGAGAACTATGTAGACATGACCGAGACACATCTCGATCAATAACCAATAGCGGAACCTGGATGCTCATATTGGCTCCTACATATTTTACAAAGATCTTTATCAGTCAAACCGCACAACAACATACATTGTACCCTTTGTCATCGGTATGTTACTTGCCCGAGATTCAATCATCGGTATCATCATACCTTGTTCAATCTCGTTACCAGCAAGTCTATTTACTCATTCTGTAATGCTTCATCAGGCAACTAACTCATAAATCACATTGCTTGCAAGGCTTATATTGATGAGCATTACCGAGAGGGCCCAGAGATACCTCTCTGATACACAGAGTGACAAATCCTAATCTTGATCTATGCCAACCCAACAAACACCTTCAGAGACACCTGTAGAGCATCTTTATAATCACCCAGTTACGTTGTGACGTTTGATAGCACACAAGGTGTTCCTCCGGTGTTCGGGAGTTGCATAATCTCATAGTTAGAGGAACATGTATAAGTCATGAAGAGAGCAATAGCAATAAAACTTATCGATCATTATGCTAAGCTAACGGATGGGTCTTGTCCATCACATCATTCTCTAATGATGTGATCCCGTTCATCAAATGACAACACATGTCTATGGTCCGGAAACATAATCATCTTTGATTAAAGAGCTAGTCAAGCAGAGGCATACTAGGGATACTTTGTTTTGTCTATGTATTCACACATGTATCAAGTTTCCGATTAATACAATTCTAGCATGAATAATAAACATTTATCATGATATAAGGAAATATAAATAACAACTTTATTATTGCCTCTAGGGCATATTTCCTTCACCGACTACCAAGACCAATCAGCAAGCCAGCTCTGCCCGAAGCCGTCATCGTTGCCACACAAGAAGCCGCGCAAATCAAACACATCGCCAGACGGGCACCTGCCCGACCGCAATGGTGCGAGCGTCCAGCCCATGGAGCGTGCAAACAGGATCCAAAGTTCTTACAGGCGACACCCCAAAGAGGGAATTAGCGACGATGCTGACATTGTCGCCCGACCCAGCCAGGCCTTAGGCTTTTGCCCAAAGAACTGGATCCAAGGGTCTGCAAAATGGGTGGACTCCACGGCGGCTCCTCAAAGGAGGTGAAACAACGTCCATAGACACCGACGCCATCGGTCGGCGAGATCCCAACAAGCTTTCACCCATAGCATTACCCAAACCCACACCCCCCACGGACAGCACCTCCGTTAGCCCGCTCACCACCCATGGAGCCACCATGCCATGACCAACTATGAGCCACCACAATCCTTGTTGTTGGTCAGAAAAGACCAGCGAGCCAGATCTAGCAGCCTCCCGAGCTAAGACGTCGAAGAAGAACCAAAGCCGACACAATGCACATCCCATTGGAGAGCCAGGAAGGCAGGTTGCCGCCCAAATGCACCAAGCAGGCCCACCTTGTTCCCGATTCCTCCTCCGCCCCTGCTCCTACTCTCTCAACGAGAATTGCGAGAGAAAAGCGTTGGGCTTGCGCCGAGCCTGCGCCAGAGCCGACCACCCGTCTCGTGCCATTGTTACCGCAAGGGCCCTTCCTCAGTAGCTGCAACTTCAGGAAAACAAAGCGAGGCTCCGCGGCCCCTCGAACACATCGGAACAGACCGACTACCAAGACCAATCAGCAAGCCAGCTCTGCCCGAAGCCGCCATCATTGCCACACAAGAAGCCGCGCAAATCAAACACATCACCAGACGGGCACCTGCCCGACCGCAATGGTGCAAGCGTCCAGCCCATGGAACGCGCAAACAGGATCCAAAGTTCTTCCAGGCTACACCCCAAAGAGGGAATTAGCGACGATGCCGGCGCTGTCGCCCGACCTAGCCAGGCCTTAGGCTTTTGCCCAAAGAACTGGATCCAAGGGTCTGCAAAATGGGTGGACTCCACGGCGGCGCCTCAAAGGAGGTGAAACAACGTCCATAGATGCCGACGCCATCGGTCGGCAAGATCCCAACAAGCTTTCGCCCAGAGCATCACCCAAACCCACACCCCCACGGACAGCACCTTCGCTAGCCCGCACACCTCCCACGGAGCCACCATGCCATGACCAACTATGAGCCACCACAATCCTTGTCGTTGGTCAGAAAAAACCAGCGAGCCAGATCTAGCAGCCACCCGAGCTAAGACGTCGAAGAAGAACCGAAGCCGACACAATGCACATCGCACTGGAGAGCCAGGAAGGCAGACTGCCGCCCAAATGCACCAAGCAGGCGAGCTGCCACCAGAAGTAGCGGTCACCACCAACGCAGACCCAACAAAGCTCCAGCCGAAGCCTCCAGCCGCCTGCTTCGTGCTGTGGGGTGGAGGAAACGCGCAGCCGGAGCTCACGCTGCACAGATCGGGAAGGGCCCGAGCCTCCTCATCGCCGACAACACCAACGCACGTGATGAATCCCGCCAACGCAGCGCAACCACTGAGAGCGGGCGCGCCACGCATCGCCGCCCACATAGCAAGCGCGTCACACCGAAGAGTGCCGCCACCACCAGCCCGAGGCCGCCGCCTCGGCGGACGTGCTCTACCGCGCAGGGACGACCGGATATCCCCATCCCCCTTCACCGCGGCAAGACCTCGCGGCGGGGCTAGATTTTTTCCCGAGCCGCCAGAGCTAGGCGACACGGGGCCGGGTTACGACACCGGGTTTTTTTTTACTGTTATAACTTATGACGCTCAAAAGTGACGTGACGCCCCCAATTCCTACCAGCAAGAATAACAATAGTTATATTATCCTGCCAGCAAGGAGCGAAGGAAAACAAATGGCGCAGGTGTTGATCCAGGGGCTTTTCTCTCTTTTTCATTTCAAATGTTATGCTTAATGATAAAAATAAGAAGATCACACGCAATGCTGAATGTGCAGGCATCATAATAGCGGCAAAAGACGAGCGCCTACCTGCATACCAACATATTTGCATATGCAAACGCAGCTTTCCTTGGGAACTATCAAATGGCACATTGGCACACAGGCAAACACGCAAAAGGCATCCAAAATAAGTGTCGCAGCCTTGGTTCAAGTCGACACTTATTTTTGAAATGAAGGTACTTCCTCTGTAAACTAATATAAGATCTTTTAGATACATGGTTTATCAATGAACCAAGCCACTTGCAAATGCTGCCGGGGCCGCTTTTCCGCTGCTGATTCGGACAGGCGTCAGCGTGCGTGCGTGCGTGCGTGCAGCCATCCATCGCCGTCTGCCCGCGACGAGAGACCAGACCACACTGTCGGTACTGCACACTATACTCTTTTCTTCTTCATTCAAAACTCCCTTTCTTTTCCCAGCTGAAACTCACATGATAATATTGTTTTCTGGAACACCCACAGACCGCACGACGCCGACGTGACACGGAAAAGGGCAACTCCACGTACGCAGCGGTGCAGTTCAGTACAGAAAGGGAGCACCCCGAAAAGAGACTGGATCATTTTCCAAAGTGAAGAGATCGGATTAGTTTACAGAGCAAAAGGGCATCGCATGCATGCATGCCCACGTTGCCGCACGCAACTGTACGAACCACAGGAGGAGGATATATTACAAGTGGAGTCCAGTTTTCTAACGAGCAGAATGTTTTCCGGTGCTTGATAATGCATGCCCACTTTCTTTCTCCTCCTTGCATTTTCATGTTTTTTTTTCACCTCCAGCAGATAAACGTGTGGATTGGCAACGCTCCGTACTGTATCTGTATGTGTCGAGGTCCAACCAACACGGGGTCTAAAATACTACTCCGTACTGCGTGATGAGCTGCGAGTTCCACACTTCACTACATATCCATTTTGTCGGTACAAGAGGCAAAACAGTTTTAACACATGCTGCAACCGTGGTGGACATTAGTCTCTGCGCCTCTCTGGAGGGAGTCTGGAGAAAACTGATAATCCATTTCGCAACATATGTCTACTTGCCGAATCTATTAGCCACCGCTGGTTCCAACAGTGTGTTCCAGACCTGCCAAATATGCAAGGGTGTTCAGTAATTGTGTGAATGGGCAAAAAAAGACAAAGCTCAGACAGACCAAGGATACGGGCAGCATTGTGCTTACTTTCAGCTTGCCGTTTGATCCTCCGCATGCTAGCAGGAAGGGGCTGTCGTTCGAAAACGATACCGAAAATATAGCTCCCTGCAGATCAGAAAGTTGGGTGAGCAACTTAGTAACCAGAGTAATTCCTTCTAAATATAAAGAAGGGTTTCACTTTAGTGCGCGTACAAGGTTTGGATTCAGTGAAGCGACGCATGACGGCTGGTTGTTCGACAGATCCCAGAGCTTCACCTGCGTTCAGAGATATGTATGTTAGCAACCGGTTGGATTCAGTGTCGGAAGTGTTATTGGCTTCTTCGTAATGCAAAGTTCGCACCGTGTTATCAGTTGAACCTGTAGCAAGGAGCTGCAAGAGGAAACAGCACACCATCAGTAATTCGGTTTATGTGGCTGCATCTCTTTTTTTTTACCACACCTGGTATAAAAATTGTAACAATACATTGGGGGTAGATGGGGTGAAGGATATTGAAGAAACAGCCTTGTCGTGTGCTTGCAGAGTAAACATGGGCTGGCCGCAATTAGAATGCGATGAAGCTGTCCGCGTATCAAACGCTTGAACCGTCCCATTTTCAAGACTAACCTGCAAGACCCAGTTGCCACATTACTATTATATCGAGTGAATCAGAATCACAAATTCATCCTGCGATTACGACTTGGGGAATAGCTGCAGGGAACCAAAAAAAATTGCGACATACAGTTGAGAGATGGAAATGGTTTGAACTCGCTTATACAATCGTCGAGTCTATAGTCCATTAGTCCTACATCCTACTCAAAACATGCTGCTTCATAATAAAAAGCATGGACTCTATTAATCTGCATTTCAATCATACTGTTTCCTAATGAAAACTTCATCCCTTCAAGTTCAGAAGAAGTCGGAAATTTCCAGTAAGCGGGTTTCAGCATGTGTACAGAACAATGAAATCTTACCACAAACGTGTGTTCATTGTGTGGATCACAAGCTAAGCTTTCCACATCTGCTTCGACGGACCATTTATGACAACTTTGTCCATCACCTCTCATGTCAGTCTGTAAAATGTTACCAGTGTAAGTTCAGTGGATGGAAGTACAAAATATACAAAAATAAATTAATAAGTACTCCCTCTGTGACTATTAGTGATCTAAAAGATCTTATATTTCTTTATAGCGGGAGTAACAGACTCTTCAATAAGAATGTAAAATTAACACTGAACTGCGTCTCAAAATATCCGCAGTAACGCAACAGAACAAGAATGCCAATTTTTTTGACGCGTACAAAAATGCCAAATTAACATGTGATCTTCACCGTGCAAGAGAAGAGACTAAGGAGGCTCTCAAGTCGAATCCCAAGAACCAAAATCAGAAGGTAAACTAGTATATGTTCATATTTAGTTATTGATTACTCATACGAAACTGGGTGGTGTCCACGGCTCAATTACACAACACAGATGAGATTAGTAATTGCTGACATGCTAGAAATCAGCATGATGCTTAGAATCTGGCCAACAACCAAAATACATCATGAGCAGCAGCAGAAACTTCAGGAATAAAAATTATCATAATGGCTTACAATATCCATTACCATGGCAACTGATCTATCAAAAGATCCAGTGAGAAGAACTTCAGGTGACCTCCATGCAACTGACTGAACCTAAATGTTGGGGGAAGGGAAAATTAACTTAATAGACCACCATAAACATTCGGACTGATATACAGAAGTCATGAAGAAGAATGTAATCATTACCTTGCCATCATGATGTTGCAGTGTGCGGTCACATTTACCAGTATATAAATCCCAAACTTTAACAGTTTTGTCTGCACTTGCACTAGCTAGAGCGTTCCTGAAGTTCATAGGGAGTCATCAGCAAGGGTCCATAAGTGAAGAGACAGCTAGAGATGCAACCGCTCGAGTTGAAACATAAACGCACCTTACCACCGCGTTCCATGCAAGACCAAGAACAGAACTTCTGTGGCTACCCTCGTATTTCTTTGCCTGCACATGACATGCGGAATGAATAATGTAGCTAGGATTTCAAGGAAAGGAATGAACGCTCACCCGCGCAACAATGAAATATTAGTAGCATACCTTTTCCCCCTTAACCTTTTCTTTGTTTTTTGAAAGTCCTCCTAGCACAATATGTGGTTTGACCTCATCAACCTGTGGAATAACATCAAAGTCCAACAACAAAACATAAATTTCTTTGTAGAAAAACAACTCATGGTCGTATGAAGTAACAGTCTCCTATGTTTCTGAGAACATTACAATATCCAAGTTCCATATTTCAATTGCAGGATCCATGGTTCCAACAGCAATGAAATTCCCTGTAATGAGGAATAGAATAAGCCTTCATTTATTTATTTAACAGAAATAAAGCAGCACTCTTTGCTTCTTAAAACTCAAGTGACACCAATTTTACCTTCTTTCTTGGCATCCTTGAAGTTAAAATCCATCCAAGCCGTGCAGAGTGGAAAATCTGAGAGAGGGACCTCATGATGAACATACATATTAAGATCCCCGTCCTCCAACTCTTCCACTATACTAACCTGTCATAGATAATAAAGGTTTACATGTCACATGTTACATGCATATAACCGGGCATACATAATATATGAGCTAGTAACGTCCAGCACAGCGAAATGCAGGGTTAAAATGTGAAATAAGCACATTCGTATCCAAACACTCTCTTACGCTGGACAATAACTAAATTCGAGAATGCAAATTTATTCAGTCCAACCAGAACAATGCTCTACATAAAGGTTCCCATTTGCATTCTTGATAACAGAAGATTATCAAAATAAGAACAGCGACATTTTTAGCAAATGCGGAGAAAAAGAGATGCTAACTTGACACTTGCCTGAAGAGAATTGAACTCATCCTCGTTGTGTGCACAAACAATCAGCATATCAGTAGGTTTGATAGCCATGTCTTCAATCTCCTCGTCCTCATCACCATCATCATCCTAATAAAGCAGAGAAGGGCGCTCATTCACCTCCAATGTGATGCTGATACCACCACCAAGAACAAAAAAATAACAATACTGTATCTTTTTCACGGCAAGAGAATGCATACTGACATCGTTGTTCCTGACGAGATGAGGGTCCTCTTCGTTGTTTTCATAGTACAAATCCCCCCTCCCGGTACTGAGAAGCTCGGGCTCTACTGCAAAATACGTGCAGGTTGCAGTCCAAGCATCAGCCACGCAAGATACAAGACCTGGTCGAATTCGCAGCGAAGGGGGCAGGGCAGCAGGAGCACCTACCGTCGTCCTCGTCGTCGTATTCCTCCATGTTGAGCTCCTCGAGCCCATCGGAGACACCGCCTCCCGAGCCGGTCTTCCCGAGCGCCTCGGCGGCGGCCTTGGCCCGGGCGACATCCTCACTGTCCTCCTCGTCGGCGCCGTCGACCTCCATCTCGCCATAGTTTTCGTCGGCGGCGGCGCTGCCATCATTTCTGCTAGCAACATGCACGGTCATGGCAGTGGGTCGACGCGACAGGGGCGAGACAGAGCGGGGGAAGCGCGCGAGGCGAGGCTCACTCTGTGGCGAGGGCGATGCTCCTCATGGCCTCGTCGATCTCCTCCTGCGTGGGAGGGTCCGCCTGGATGGGTGCGCTCCTGGCGGCGCCCCTGGGCACCCAGGACATGGACGAGATCATCTCCGGCGCCCCCGGCTTGGTGGCGCGAGCAAGCGGCGGTGGAGTGAGATGGGGGGACAGGGGTTTGCTTCTTGTTTTTTTTTAGGGGAAAAAAACGAGGGTTTTGTTATTAGTCGACTCGGGGGCGGCAGCTGGGCTTTTATTGGACTGGGCCGATAGGGGGCGCTGTGCTATGCCGTTTGTCCCAGCCCACCTGGAATGGGCTTCGTTTTGTTCTCGTCGGAGCGTTTTTTTGGAAGCCTCGTAACAATCAGTGCCACTTGACGTGTTCTTAGCGATTCACCACATGCCGCGCTCGTTTTGAATAAACGGATCTACGAAAAAAACTCTCAGATTGCCAACGCGTCACTTGTCGCAACCTAGGGAATTGGAATGATCTTAGCAATGAGTACTCCTTAACTAGTGATTTCGGTTCTTGTCTCGTCTCTCTTTTGTTGGTCATTTTCCTAGAGTTCTTCTTCTCGGCCTAGCGTGTGTTTGGTGAGTGCGCTGCCATGCCATTGTGGGAAAATATCTTGTGATACGGTGCATAGCATGATACCGTGCTCCGAGCTTGCATGGTGCGTCTGATCTACTCCCTTCATTCATAAATATTTGTCTTTTGAGAAATTTTAAATGGATTATCACATACGGATGTACATAGACATATTTTAGAGTGTGAATTCATTTATTTTACTTCGTATGTAGTCACTTGTTAAAATCTCTAGAAAGACAAATATTTAGGACTGAAGGGGGTACAGTCAGTGGCGGAGCTTGACCAAGTCCTTTGGGGGAGGGGGGGGGCAAATAGAATATTTGAACTAGTGGGGGGGGGCAAACACACAAAATTTCATAACCTAAGCTCTCTCTCTAAAAAATATATGCTTGCATGTGCCAATCATGGGGGGCCACAGCCCCAGCAACACACTAAGCTCCGCCGTTGGGTACAGTACATAGAAGGCATGGGATCGCTCACACATACCTCCCTGTATATTTCCATTTTCATCTTGCCTCTCAAAAGTTGTGCGTGCTTGCAAAATCGTAATAGTTCTGCACATCTCACTTTCTCAGCAACAAGTCTTGCTCCTGTCCGCTGCCATTCATCAAGATGCAGGCTGGCTGGTAAAGCAAAGTATTTTTAATCTCACTAACCCAGGATAGAAAGATAGGGAGACCGAAACTACCACTAACATTTTTTTTTTGAGAACCACCACATATATTAATTAACCAACGTAGTTATTACAATCATTCCTTACAAAATTCACCACACAGGGCGGAACATCATTAACAAGAATACCATCTGATCTATTGTCAAGACTATACTTAGCAATGAGATGAGCCACCACATTGGCTGAACGATTAATCTTTGAAATTTTGAACCCATTTAGCATCTTGGAGATATTCATTGTTTCCTTCTTCAAATCAAAAAGTGCTGACCTGTCAAAATTATCCTTTGCAAGAGACGCAGCAACAAACGCACAGTCAGTCTCTAAAATTATAGAATTCTATAGAGTAATACCTATATAAAGACCAACAATACATGCCCGGAGTTCCGCTTCCTCCGCGCTTTTACAAAGCCCAATGAAATCCCAAGAAGAAACTATGATATTCCCAGAGGAATCCCTGGCCGCCACACCCACACTTGCAGCGATAATTGATGAAGTCATGTACCTAGGGTAGGGTCATGAACCTGTTCTAGGTACCCTCCCAAGGACATCTACAGAAGAAACTGTCTTCCAGTCGACCAAGGGAGATTCCACTCGACGGACTGGAAGACACTCGACGAACTTGAAGACACTCGACCATGAAGACTCACTCGACCACCAGGAGTTCAAGATCTACTCTGTATCCAAACGGAGTCTTTATGGTCATGATGGCACTTTATGTAAGGCGTTACCAGTAACGCCAGGCCTTAATGTACTTTAATCCTCCGCTACGTGGGCTGGCTGGGGTCTTGGCATCCTCTATATAAGCCACCCCCCTCCACTGGCAGAAGGGTTCGCACCCCTGTAACTCTCACACATATAATCCAGTCGACCGCCTCCGGGCTCCGAGACGTAGGGCTGTTACTTCTTCCGAGAAGGGCTTGAACTCGTAAAACACTTGTGTGCACAACTACTCCATAGTTAGGATCTTGCCTCTCCTTAGTACCCCCCCCCCTACATTACTGTCAGACTTAGAACCACGACAGTTGGCGCCCACCGTGGGGCAGGTGTCTTAGCGACTTATTGGAGAAGTTGCAATTTTTCCGATTCCCATCATCATGATTTCAGGTGGAGTTTTGGTTGAGGGCCGCGAGATCCGTCTCGGCGCTCACGTTTGTCGCAGACGACTCTGCCTGGCTGCAGGAGGCTCCGCTCGACGTCGACGCGCTCCCAGTCCATGGAGCTATGCACTTTCGAGCGTGCGTCCGTGGCGTCCTTCTGCGGCAACCGTCGACCCAGTATGGGCCGGTTTTCGTTTCATCCTCCCTCCCCGCTTCCCGCCGGCGTAAGGGCTCCGGTCGGTCGAGGCTTCAGCGGTGGGTGAGGCACGCGGTGGCTCGCCAGTCGACCACCGCCCAAGTCACGGCAATCGAGCCCGATGAATCTCTCTACAGCGTGTTCGACCTGTCGACTGGCTCCGCAGAGACTGCATCCGAGTGCGACAGCAGTGATCCAGCGGCGGAAGTCCTGATGGTCAATGGACCGCACGTTCCCCCCGGCTTTCCCGGTGCCGAGGGGGGCAACGGCGGAGGCGATCCGTCGCACGCCCATGAGGAATATCTCCCCGAGCCCCTCAACTCACAGCAGAGGGAAGAGCTTCGCCGCCGGAACATGGATGCGCTTCACACTCCGATCATTGGAGAAACCCCTGAGGCTCGCGCCTTGGAGGATGCGCGCTTGGCCAACCTGGCCGAGCGCACTCGACTGCAGAACCTTCAGCGGGCACTCGACGAGCGCGCACGGCAACGGATTCCAGACTCCAGTCGATGCCAGCTCTTTCCACCTCCAACTCAGGTATATTGAACTCCGATTCAGAATTTGGCAGCTGCAGCCCGTATAGCAGAATCGATTCGGCCTTCCCAGTCAGAGGCTGGCAGAGGTTTGATGCAGATCAGGGATTTGCTCCGGGCAGCAGGGGATCAGAATTCAGCTTTATCGCAGTCCCGGAACAGGATCCACAGCAGATTCGTGGCAGCGAATACAGTCCAATCGGCTCATAGCCCCAGATCGCCCCCGAGGCGTGAAGGGCGTGGTGACCGACACGATCAGTACAGGAACCATGAATAGTATGATCATCGATTCGATCGCAACGATCGACGTCGAGTGCCTACTCCCCCCAAGGGGTGGGTCCTATATGCCTCGACAGCAGGATGATAGACGCCAGCACAGTGGCGGGCGAAGGATTCCGGTCGACCCCAGGGAACCAGGCTTTGATGCGAGATCCATAATCGTTCAAGGTCTGGTCGACCGAAACAGAGCCCACAGAGAGGGTAACGACAGAGATATACCCACCAGCAGCCGAGTGCATGTCTCCGGACCAGAGTGCTTCAGCAGAGCCATCAGAGCCGCGGTGATTCCTCCCAACTTCAGGTTGGCGACTGGAGTCAGCAAGTTCAACGGTGAGTCTAAGCTCGATACTTGGCTTAAGGACTACCAAGTGGTTGTTCAGATCGGCGGCGGGAATGACGAGGTGGCCATGAAGCATCTGCCTCTTATGTTGGAAGGGTCAGCCAGAGCATGGCTGAATCAGTTGACACCCAGCAGCATTTACACTTGGGAGGACCTCTCCCGAGTGTTTGTCAGGACGTTCGAAGGAACATGCAAGCGACTAGCCGGACTGATAGAGCTGCAATCTTGTGTGCAGAAGTCGAATGAGACTTTGAGGGATTACATCCAGAGATGGATCGCACTGCATCACACAGTAGAGAATATATCTGATCACCAGGCGGTCTGCGCCTTCAAGGAGGGCGTAAAGTACAAAGAGCTAAGCCTGAAATTCGGTCGAACCGGAGACATGTCTCTGAGTCGAATGATGGAAATAGCCACCAAGTATGCCAATGGTGAGGAAGAGGATCGGCTCCGGAGCGGAAAGCATAAGACAGTCGCCCAGGAAACCGGAGGTGGGAACTCCAGTCGGAAGCAGAAGCGGAAAGCCGAGCCAGCTGCTCCTGGAGAAGCCCTGGCCGTGACTCAGGGAAAATTCAAAGGGAAACCCAAGGGGCCTTGGAACCCCAAAAAAGTAAAGGATAAAGAGGGAAATGACATGATGGATTTGCCGTGTCACATTCACACAAAGAAAGATGAAGAGGGTAATTTCATTTACCCAAAGCATACCACTCGACAGTGTCGACTTCTGATACAGCAGTTCCAGGGGAAACAGCCCATGGACAAGGAAAAGGAGTCAGACAAAGCTGAGGACAAGGGGGATAGTGACGAGGAATACCCTCAGGTCAATTCTACTTTGATGATTTTTGCTGACATTGAGAGCAAAAGTCGACTGAAAGTTATAAACCGAGAGGTGAATATGGTTGCTCCGGCAACACCCAGTTATCTGAAGTGGTCTCAGACCGCCATCACATTCGACCAGTTTGATCACCCAACGCACATAGCCACCCCTGGGAGGCAAGCTCTGGTGGTCGACCCAGTCGTCGAGGGCACTCAACTGACTAAAGTGTTGATGGATGGCGACAGTAGTTTGAATATATTGTACGCTTAGACGCTGAAAGGGATGGGCATTCCGATGTCCAGACTCAGCACAAGCAACATGAGTTTCTATGGAGTCATTCCTGGCAAGAAGGCCGCGTCACTCGGCCAGATTGCTCTTGATGTGGTTTTTGGTGATTCAAAGAATTTCCGCAAAGAGGAGCTGACATTTGAGGTTGTGGATTTCCAGAGTGCCTATCATGCTATTTTGGGCAGGCCAGCTTATGCACGTTTTATGGCCCGACCATTTTACGTGTACCTCAAATTAAAAATGCCTGGCCCTAAAGGCGTGATCACTGTTACTGGTAATCGCAAGAAGGCAGAAGAGTGCTT